AAGCCCAGTGATTTTCAAAGATTTCCAATAATTACTACAAGCGTTATGGCCCTTGATAACTTTGAAAAATCTTGTGTCCGCTCTAGAGACCAAAGTTATCATCCAATTGACTTTAGAACGATAAACAGAGTTTAAGGTCTTGAGACAAACAAGTATATTGATTTTCAATGACTTTTGATAACTTGAACAGCTAAATTCATGATATTAAATGTTTCGTATACTAAACGTTACCATGGGGCAGAACTGAAAGCCCAAAAAATCTAATGATTTTCTGATAATTACTTAATAAGTTGTTACTCTAAATCAGATTTTAGTGTATTATAAATGTTTCATTATGGACAATAGAAAAAATATGCTACAACTCTTGTTGACTGCTGTCTGAATTGCGGTTGTTAATTTTGTTTATAGATTTATTAATTGACTGTTTTCGCTAACTTAAAAAATCATGCAAAATGAAAATTAAGGTAATTTATGGTTAAAACTTTTATGGCATGTAAATAGAATACACAGAAACGTGTATAGTAAAATTTACTGCAACTAGTAACAAACTATCTCTTGATACATGCGTACCTGTTTTATGGAATAACCTACCATTTACTTTAAGATGTTGTACATATCTATATGCTTTAAAACAAACTATTTAAAACACTGTTATTTAAACAGGCTTTTAATAGACACTACATGTCCATAATCTTGATTTTTTTTTTTTTAATATGATTAAATTGTCACTTTGTAAAGTCTCCCTAAACAATTAAGTTACATGAAAGGGCGCACTATAATAATATTTTTTGTATCAATATCGCCCATGCATCTGTTATCACTTGTCGCTCCAGTCAGTTATATAGAGGTATAAATCGTGTTTTCCTTTTGCGTTCGTCACTTCCGATTGTTGAAACATTGATTACGCATCTATCGTAGCAATGATCTCAGTGATAAAATAATATTTGGAACGTGTTTAACAAGTTCTATCACATATGTGATAATGACTGGCACCAATATTGTCCTTTTATATATGTATAACAGTAACAAAATTTTGATTTAAAGTATTTACAAAAACATCTCTCCGATGATAATAATAAATTTAAATTACTTCTCCGTACCAGTTGGAAACGTAATTGTCTAAGGTCTAAATGAAATGTGAAGTTTAATCAAATGAAATTGGATTGGGGAACAGGGTAATGTATTTTTGCATAAAATTACAATGCTGTTTGTTTCGAATCTGCGTTGGGCTGTTCATCTATACTATTCAAAAAAAGTAGGGGATATTTGATTTTTAAGTGTTATTAAAGTCACCTAATGAAACTGACGAAGAAACAAATGACAAAATGAAATGAAGTTCACATTCATCGATTTATTCCAAATGATCGTTAGACTAAGTAAGGCACAGACTGACCATTATAAGGGTAAAATGATACCCGGGGTCAAACAGCAAAGTTACCACAGCATCACAACCAAGTCAGTAACGGCTAAATCCTCCTCTGTTTGCCAAACAAGCATTGATCCGACGTGGCATACTCCTAATGAGACGTCTAAGGTCATTTTGGTCCAGATTGTCCCATTCCTGTTGCAACGCAGCAGCAAGTTCTTGGACATTGGCAGGACGTTGTTGACGTTGACATAACCTCTGTCCAAGCATGTCCCAGACATGCTCGATGGGGGAGAGGTCGGGACTCAGTGCTGGCCAAGGTAATGTGGTGATGTTCTGTTGTTGGAGGTAACCTGTAACGATCCTGGCCCTGTGACATCTTGCGTTGTCATCCTGGAAGATGAAACGGCGGCCATGACGTCGTGCAAACGGCACAACATGGACTGCCAAGATGTTGTCCCGGTAGTACTGGCCTGTAACACGCCCTGCAACAACATGTAAAGCCGTTCTTCCAGCAACAGTGATGCCTCCCCACACCATAACAGAACCACCCCCAAATCGATCATGTCTGATGACGTTAACGTCTTGGAAGCGCTCGTTTCGACGACGCCACACCCTCCTACGTCTGTCCAAAAAATCAACAGTGAACCTTGACTCATCTGAAAACATCACATTGCTCCAGCGTCGATTATCCCAGTGTTGACGATCCCTACACCAACGACGTCTTGCCTGAATGTGATGATCTCTCAAACAAGGGATCACGCGAGGACGTCGGGCGTGAAGGTGACCCCTATGCAGTCGATTCCGAATCGTCTGGCCACTCACTCTCACACCAGTGTCTGTTTGAAGACGAGCGCTGATCTGATTTGCTGTGATGACACGATTTCTCAAGGCCAAGGTAAAATGGCCGCCCTTCGTTCTCAAGTAGCGTAAAAATATGGTATATCAAGGTTGTGGACCCTATAGAGGTCACAATTTTTATCCGATTTTGTTGAAACTTGAAATGTAAGTTTATAACCCAAAGATCTTGGTTCCTTTCGATATTTGCGCATATTGAATTGTAATTTCCTGAATTATGGCCCTTGATTGTAGGAAAAATCACTTTCGTTTTGGCTTGTTTTCTATCCATCTCTCGAAAATGTGGGTGTATCCTGCCTGGCAGCCGCTGGTTGTATTTATCGTCTACAGGCTGCAATTCTGAATGGATCATCTTGGAACTTTGCATATTTATTCCTTATACCATAAAGACAGCAACTATTTATTTTGATGCTTGCCCCGACCTCCTGGGGCAGTGTCACACCCACTTTTTTGTTAGTATTTTGTCTGTAAATTTGGCAAAACAAACCAAACGCCTAGCCTTCTTTGCCTCTGATCATTTTACAGCCATTTCATATTTCATTCTCTTCATTTTAAAAAGTACCATATCAATCAGAGTTGGAATGTGGACGTATATTGCAGTGTTAGCGATGCTCGTGTATTTTTAAATTAGTCTGTGCAGAAAATTACCCGCAATAAGCCATTCCACAAGCGTAAACAATAACTTGCTCCAGTCCAAAGCCTAGATGGTTATCCTCAGCATCAAATGCATGTGGTAACATTCTTGTGTCAACTTCCTCCTGATAAACTTAACACTGAGACGAAATATATTGAACATATTATTGCATGACATAGGCCTACACTGAGAATATCAGTATAACTTGATGCATTTCTATGATTCTCAAGAATTTGAACAGTTTTCCAAAAATGGTTTGAAACTAAACATTAAATAAAGAAACTCCTGCTATAACAGCACAAATAAATGATACCCACAGAAGGCCTGACAAGGACAGCTGTCTAGTTGCTTGGATGGGACTAAAAACCGAAGCTCTGTGTGCACATTGGCGTACACGTAAAAGATCACTTGACAGTTGGAATTCGATATAAGAGTAAGCCGTATGCCCGTCTTCATTAGCCCAGAGCAGAACAGTAGGTCTTTAAACCCCATTTCATTTCATAAATCATACCCAAGTTGTAGTGTATATCATGTATATTCATTGTGAATTATTTTGTTAATACATTGGAGGTTGGGTGTTCGATCCCTGCATTGGCCGAGAAAGTTCATCCAGATTTTCCGGCGTGTTTTCCCCTTGTCAGTGATGCAGGACAGAGGGCCTGACAAGGACAGCTGTCTAGTCGTTCGGATGGGACGAAAAACCGAGGTCCCATGTACATATTGGCGTGCACCTAAAAGATCCCTTGGCAGTTGTAATTCGATATAAGAGTAGGCGATAGTGCCGCTGCCCAGGCAAAATTTCCCTCAATAGCACACTGTATGGCGTATGCCCGTCTTAATTAGCCCAGTATAGGAGCAGAACAGTAGGACGTTAAACCCCATTTCATTACATAATACATAGTAGACTGGGGAATATTAAGATGTTATAATCAAGATATTAAACAATGTATATTTTTTTTTTATATATGCCCACATGGAAATGTGGTGGTATATTTGCTGTCGCCTCTATCTATCCGTCCATCGTCCAAAATTTCTTCTGAACACTCTATGGACTATATTTTTTATCTGATCATTTTGAAATTTATATGTTTAGATCTATATTTATATGCATCATTTAGATTAGTAAAACGAACAAGCCTATTGATTTTCAGCAGTTTCTGTTAATAACTTCAAAAGTTATGGCCCTTGATTCACTTTGTTGAACCGTGTGAATGCTCTAACAACAAAAGTTATCGTCTGAGGTGTTTGAAATTGACATCGGTGTCATGTAAATGCTCCCATTACCGAGAAAGGAATAAATATGCGACAACCCTTGTCGAAAATTATTGATCTTTGTCCACAATTTGAGCTAGTGCCCGAAAACTACTCTATAGCCCTTGACCAAATTCGATGTGAAGCATTGTGCTAATGAGAGCATGAGTCATATTGATATTCTCTGTTCTGCATTCATCTCTTGCAAAATGTTGGTGTCTCTTGTATGGCAACCGCTTGTTTTAAAAATTGAATATAAATCCCTTTATATACATTCATCAGACATGAATTTTTCCCACTTTAAAGCAGAATTCAGCTCTTTGTCTGGTCACTTTCTTATTTTTGGCGGTTGGTTCTGATTTTTGACAACAGCTTAATTCAAGCTCCCCGTTTCAAAAAAGTAATGAAAAGCACATGCTAATATCATCAAAAATCATTAAATATTTTCTGATGAATTTGTAACTCATTCACCTTGAAATATCTATCCATTACTTTAAAATCTGCTAACCAGATGTTGGCGAAATAAACATTAACTGTATCGTAGATTCACACGTGATTGAACGAGATCGCCATGTCACTGTGTATGTAACATAGTTTCGCTATGGTATTGTAATCGTCTCAAGTTCTTCACACCCCCGCGAATTATTTACAGCTTTTTATTCCAACAGCTAAAATCATGCCTGATTCATATTACCTGAATATTTCCTTGAGACCCATTTTCCTATCTTTTAAGGTTCCAAAGAATAGAGCCATATACACATCCTATAATCCCTTCCACACATATTGTGATGTCTGATATTTTCTGAAAAGTGCAAATGTTGCTCAGAGGCTTTAATTTTCGCCAAGAGTGGTTCCTAACCCTAAAGTTAAAACTGTATCATGTACTTTTAGATATGATGAATGGATAAAACGGGAAAGGATTGTGAGTATAATGGACAGATCTGGTTCTACAAAGAGGTCTTTTAAGAAATCTCCAGATGTTGGCATCTCTCCCAGATGTTTTTTGAAGGCAAGTTGTAATTAGTTGATGGTTGATTGTTTTTTTCCACATGCCAACCAACACTGCAGCTTGTTCGTCCAAGTTGTTTATCAAGGTTCTCAACATTTTTATGTTTCAATGTTTTGAAATTTCACAAGAATACCATAAAGTTGTTTTTTTTAAAAAAAAGAAATCTAAAAAGCTCTGACAAGGTAAATAACTTGAATTTGTAACCAAATAAAGAATACACAGCAAGTTTGAAATAAAAATATTTAAATTTTTGTTCTCTTTTGGACATTAACAGTAAGGTAAGGCCACACCAATTTGATATTTCGTTCATCGGAATTCCTGTGTGGGTATGTTGTCCACTCCACCTGTCCATCAACAATTGGGTTGTGAACGTCATAGAGGCTACAGTTTTTGACAGATGCTTTTCAAATTTGGTGTGAAGCATTATGGTCATTAAAGGACGAACCCTATTGACCTTTACGCGATAGAGACTGCAGTTTTTTTATACGTCCACATTTTCGTGTGGACGTATATTGTCGCCGCCCCTGTCTGTCCGTCCATAATTGTTTGTGGACACTCTACAGGTCACAATTCTTATCTGATTTTGATGAAACTTGGCATGTATCGGATCGAAACTTTATGGATTATGGCCCCTGATTGTACGAAAAATCACATTTTTAGCTTGTAGTCCCTCTAGAGGTCACAATTATTATTCGATTTAAAATACTGTTTGAATATATCAACGTTACACCCAAATGACGGTTGAGTTCGAATTTCGTGAAAATTAGACCAAAACTGCCAGACAAAATGGCTGCCCTTTGTACGCGAATAGTGTAAATAAATGGTATATCAAGGTTGTGGACTCTCCAGAGCAGTGATGGGATTCCAAATTTTTCTTGTCGGACATCCCCCCCCCCCCGGAAAATAAAGGGGCATAACTCTTATTATTTAAACATGCAGTATGCAAGAGCAAAATCTGCTTATTACAAGTCTTTCTTTAGGTCTGAAATGTTATCTAAATTATCAATTAGACATTAATTAACTTATCCAGACCATAATAAACTCTCGATGTCAAGGCTAGCCTTCGATGTTGGCTGGATTAGATTCCTATATGCCGCTTAACGGCCATTGATAATTAAATCAAAACAGTGGATAATCGAGACTATGCTGTTTATATTAATGATTTTAGTAATTATGACCGAGACTATGCAAAAATGTTCTTGGCTCATAGTGGATCAATTTGACTGAAATTTTCAGCAAATTACCTTTACACTATCTAATTTTTAACTATTATAGCGAGAACTGCCATCTCTTTATCTTATCTCCCATAATGTATCTTTAAGCAGGCGTTTTCAAACCACAATTAAGAATCATGTGTCAACAAAATATTCAAATTCATACAAAATTATGTGACATCGTAGTACCATAGAATGGAAGTGTGCCGACTACTGCCGATCCGTACCTGTTTCAAATTCCTCCAAAATTACTGTATTTTTCGGGTCATAAATCGATACATTTTTCAGCAGAAGACCGGCTTTCGTCTTATAATCTGTTTCGACTGATATACGAAAGGTAAAAAAAAAGACATCCCGAAATTTATTTGACAGTAAACGTCGCTCTACCACAATGAGCGAGTGACACCAAGTGCGAAATAATCGTATTCGATCCTAGCATACCCTATCGTCTAAAACAATTAACTACTTACATTATTCCAATCGAAATATTCGTCAACATTCCTTAGCGTGTGTTTTATTTATTTAAAAACATAAACCCCATAGATCCAAGAATATGCAATCAAAATAGAATCTGTTCTCCGTCATCAGACGTATGAGATTCGGCACATTCACATTTCTTAATTTCATGTTTCTCGCAAGATTTCTACTTTCATTTCAGTTATTGTACTATTACTTCGGCTTTCACCTAAGAAATATCACAGACAGGTTATCGGATACAATGTATATTGATTTGGGGTGTTATATGCTATATTAGGCTATGTGTATGTGACTAATTCCATCGAGTTGTCAGCCAACATCAAGGAGATTGAAATGTCCGACAATGGAGAAATCACGGATTAATCACGTAGATTAAGTTTATAATCACTCTTATTGGATTGATACAAGTCCGACAAAGGAGAAGCAATGACTTCTGTTTAGGATTGGATTGATGAATTGTCCGACAAAGGATTAAGTCTGTTAATCATGGCAGATTAAGTAGTTTGGAAAACAGCGTCGGACATGTCCGGAATATATGGGCGAAATCCCATCACTGGTCCAGAGGTCACAATTTTAATCCGATTGAAATATGGTCGTATATTGTCGTTGTGTCCATCTGTCGGTCCGAAGTGCATAATTGCTTGTGGACGCTCTAGAGGCTAAAGTTATAATCCGATTGACTTTAAATTTATACACAGTGTTTAAGGTCATGAGACGAAGAAGCCTATTGATCTCTTTGAAAAATCTTTGTGGACACTCTAGCTAGAGGTCACAACTTTTATCACTGTTACACCCTATGTATGTAATACCAAGGTTGTGGACCCTCTAGAAGTCACAATATTTGTCTGATTTTGATGAAACTTAAAATATATCTTTATTTCCCAAAGATCTCAATCCATTTCAATATTCGCACATTCAGGCCATAACTTCTTGGAATATGGCCCCAGATTGTACAAAAGATCGTGCCTATTTTTTTAGCTTGTTCCCTATCCATCTCGAGCAAAATGTGGGCGTATATATATATTGCCTTCATCCATCTGTCATCCGCAATTTCTTGTGAACGCACTATTATCTAATCTTTTTATACGCCTTCATTTTCATGTGGACAAATATTGTCGTCGCCCTTGTCCAGACGTCCGTCCGCCCACAATTGTTTGTGAACAGTCTACAGGTCACAATTTTTATCCGATTTCAATGAAACTTGAAATATAGGCTTATCACCCTAAGATCTCAGTTCCTTTTGATATTGGCATGTATCTGACTGTAACTTCATGGATTATGGCCCCTGATTGTACAAAAAATCACATTTTTAGCTTGTGAACACTGTAGATGTCACAATTTTTGTCCGATTTGGTTTAAACTTGAAATGTATGCTTATATTCCAAAGATTTTGGTTCCTTTCGATATACGTGCATATGGGAACGTAAATTCCTGAATTATGGCCCCTGATTGTACGAAAAATCGCGTTCTTAGCTTGTGGACAAGGTCATAATTTTTATCCGATTTAAAAAAACGTATTTATTTGCTATTCTGTCGTTTAATATGTTTTTTATTTAAGATTTCAAAAGTGCCTACGACGAATATCGTAATAAATGCACTCCTTTCGTAACGAAACATCCACAACACATACGGCATACTATTCACATGATAGTGTTATACTAAAGAACAATCTATACATTAGTAGTCTGTTGTGTATATTACTACTTTGGTGAGATTAACTCAGTTAATCTCATCAATTAATTAGCACCTTAGTGCCAGCTAGTGGTCAGGAGATTAAGATTGTTGATTGGATAATCATCAAAGAAGCCGCCACAGAAGTATGTGTGTTCATTTAACACGTGAATTAAAATAAGATTTTGCGTGTACGATAGGTCTATTATTATTTTCAAGTACCGTGACGTTATCAAAATATGAGTCCCTATAGAAATGTCAATTTCATAGTCAAGAAATGCTTACGTTCACTTTCGTGCATTTGGCTTTGATGTAAATATCAACATTATTCAGAGGATACTCAATGGCAGACTCGAGAATCGTCGCATTTCGGCTAGTTGGTTGTTCTCATTTTTTCGACCCATGGTTATAAGAGAATTTTAAACAATAATATTCCAGATGCATTCCTTACTTTGCATGCCGTATGAAGAAGCGACAGTAAACGGAATTCAGCTATCAATAAAATTCTCTTCGAAAAGAAAATTATTGGCCATTTTGTTTAAGGCCTATAGATTATTTTTTTAAAGATGATATGAGATATCAAATAATGACCACTTGGATTAATTATTCGGAATAAATAATGAGTTGTCGACGACTATATCATTGACCCGTGACAGTTGATTAGTAATAGTATTACTCAATGACAAACACCTGCTCGTCAATTAATTTACATCATCAGCCACGTGGTTTCGATTAACACTCAACAGCAATCTATGTAAAGTGGGGTAACTTTGACACATCTTTGATCTTACTGAAGATAAAAGTTACAAAATTTTGGTACCTAATACTTCTGATTATTAAATGTATGGAATAGATACCTGTAAACTACTCCCATGCATTTAATCTATTTATTTCACTGCATTAATGAAAAAAAATGTCATTCATCATTTGATGCTTACATGTCAAAGTTACCCCATGGTCGGGGTAACTTTGACAGTTTTTGTTTTAAATGTCAAAATTCAGGGAGTGATCTGTTCTATGACTGGAACAATTAGGAATAATGAATTTCACCCATTTCTGCATCAATGTACATTGGCATTCTTTATTATTGGCTATGACCTTGATAAAATGATACAACAAACTCATATCATCGACTGATTCAGAATCATCCATTATTACAACAATATGATTATCTCTTTTACACCCATCCATCATGCACTTTATTCATTCCTCAACCTTTTTTATTTTATTTTTTAGAGAACTCCATTCTTTGAAAAGCAGAATGTAGAATAAATGCTTTTAAATGCCTAAACCAAATATTTATCGATAATGTCTTGCACACGGTGTCTGGGCCAATCAGCAAACGAGTTGTGTAGACAGCATACAACAGGCGGAGTTTATTTATATTTTTGGGGGGTTTTAAAACTCGAGTGTATCCATTCAAAATCAATTCATCGACAATATTTTGATCATATTTGTAAACTAGAGATGCTCCGCTTTACAACGATGCCAATTATTATGCAAGAGGAATGACCGGTCGTCCCGCTGCGAGCAAAGAAAAATAACTAATTTCGCCGATAATTTTAAGAAATAGGACAGATTTAAGAATATGGTACTCTTACAAAACGTTCAAATACAGGTGTTTTAAAATGTTTTATT